GATGTGCTTACGGATCTCTCCCAAACTATCTAACAGTAACTTGCATGACTTTGAAGGATGCAAGTGGGAAGATCCAGCAAGTACGCGTCCGAATTCAGAATGCTCGCACACAACGCCCACATAGCGGCTACCCTGGACCACCTCGAGGACCGACCAGCCACAGTCTCGATGGATGAAAATCGCGTTCTGCCTGTCCCTGCCGCTCGGGGGACCACAATCACACGGTGTCCATCGATATGCTCTGGAGGCTCTGCACTGCGAAAGGCGAAACACTCTTGCAAAAGAAGCATGCGCCAAGGAAAACCTGTCCTTTATGTCTCTCAGGAAGTCTGGCATCCCCTTCAGCGACACAACTCTCACATTCCAGCTGATAGTGCAAGAATGGTCAAGCATCCTGCGCCGTCACCATTTCCTGATTACTAAAGAAGGACCTCTTCACGGGTCCCCAGCAACCTGACTCGTCCCGATGTGGTCGTTCAGCTGGAGGTCGAGGTTGAGGTCGGAGAGGAGCCCCCCCGCCGTGGCCATGACCCTCAGCTTGTGCGTGGCGAAGTCGCAATCGAAGAGCTTGATCGGGCCTCCAATGTGCGCGTTGCCTGGGAGTTTGTTCGGCAGGAAGATCACCTCGCCCTTGTCGTTCTTGATGTCGCAGGCGGCCGCGAAGTCGTGCGATTGGTGTGCAGGACAAAACTTTGACGACAGGCTCCAACAACTGGATCGACTTCACCTGCTGTGTGATCACGCCGATATCCCAGCCCAGCTTGGCGATGCCGTGCCAGAGGTTTTGGCGCCCCGCTGCCAGAAGGTTGCCGCCCAGGAACTTTCGGCCCTTCATGGCCATGAGCATCGTCCACATCTGGTCCGAGCTCTGAAATATGATTCGCACCCTTTCACAGATCCCCCCCGTAGGAGGAGGATGGGGATCAGTAGGAGAGAGGAGGAGGAGGAGGAGGAGGAGGAGGAGGAGGAGGACGAGGACGAGGAGGAGAATAAGAGGGGAGGAGGGGAGGAGGAGGAGGAGGAGGGAGGAGGAGGAGGGAGGAGTGAGGGGAGGAAGGAGGAGGAAGGGAGTGCGAGGGAGGAGGAAGAGGAGGAGGAGGAGGAGGAGAAGAAGAAAAAGGAGGAGAAGAAAGAGAAGAAGAAGAAGAAGAAGAGTCCGAAATGCCCCCAGATGTACTCCAAACTTACTCCAGAGGCACCTCGACGAACCCCAGACGTGCCGCGACGTTGCCGCAGTCTGCTTGCGGCCCGATGGCGACTTCACTGCGCCCCAGGCCGTCAACACAGCCCTGCCGGGGCCGGCGGCGGGGGCTGGATGCGGGGAGGCGAGGCGGCAGGCGGACAGGGCGGGACGTCGCGAGGGGGGGCAGGAAGGAGACGAGGAGGTCCAGGGGGACAGGGGGGATGGGGGGAGGAGGTGGAGCAGGAGCAGGAGGAGCAACGAAGGAGGGAGAGGGACGTGAACACCCTCTGGGATCGCTCCCCTCTCCTGTCCGCCACAGCTCCCTCGGGCCGCGAAGAGGGGAGGGAGGAGAGAGGAGGAGGGGGGCCGCGGGTGGAGGACGGAGGAGGAGGGAGGAGCAGCGGCAGCAGCAATGCCTACGTGCCCCTCATCCTCCGCCTCCGCCTCCGCCTCCGCCTCCGCCTCCGCCTCCGCCTCCTCCTCCTCCTCCTCCTCATCCTCCTCCTCCTCCTCCTCCTCCTCCTCCTCCTCCTCCATTGCTTTTCCTTCTAAATAACTTCTTCCTGTCGCACCCTGGGGCCAGTGCTTGGGGCGGACCGGGCGCTTCGCCTCAGACTTCCTCACCATTTATGAATCTGAAGCTTCAACATTGGCAGCAGCTTCACAGATGCAGGGCGGGTCGTTTTCAAAATGTGGCTCTCGCCATAGCGCGGCGCACGTTCGTTTGAAAAACTTGCAAGAGCTTCACGGATTAGGGGCGGGTGGTTTTCAACATGTGCCTCTCGCCTTGGCGCGTCGCACATTCGTTTTAAAACATTGCAAGAGCTTCACGGATTGAGGGCAGGTGGTCTTCAAAATGCGGCGCGGTGCATCTTCGTTTTGTAAATTTGCAAGAGCTTCACAGATCGGAGAGAGCGTGATCCACCGCTCCTTTACTGTGGAAAATTGCCAACCTTTTCCTCCGGAACCCGGGGGTCTCCCCCCCCCCTCCGAAAATCCCCCCCCCCCTTCCCCCCGTCAAACCCCCTCTCCCCTAACCCCTCCCCCCCCCCTCCCCCTCCCCCTCGAAAACCCGGGGGGGTCACTACCGGTTCGAACCCCTCCCCCCACCCCCCCCCTCCGGATCCGGAAAACCGGGTGGGTGGGTCACTACCGTTGGACCCCCCCCCCCTCGAAAACCGGAGGGGGGTCACTACCGGTTCGACCCCCCCCCCCCCCACGCACCGCCAGCAAACGACTCCCGGTCCCTACCACCGCTCGCATCACATCCCCCACCGTTGTTCCCAGCACCACTGTCCTCACCACCACTGTCCCCACTGGTTCCACCACCGTCCCTATTGTCCCCACCAGTGCCCCCACCACTGTCGCACTGTCCCCACTGTTCCCACCACTGTTCCCACCACGGTTCCACTCTCCCCACTGTCTCCACGGACCCAACCACTACCTATCCCCACTGTCCCCATTGTCCCACTGACTCCTCCGCTGTCCCACTGAGCTGTCCCACTGTTCCCACCACTGTCACCACTGTCCCCACCGCTGTCCCCACCACTGTCCCCACTGTACCTCTCTGTCCCATTGTCCCACCGCCGTCCTCGCCACCGCCTTTACCACTGTCCCCACCACCATTGTACCCTCCACTGTCCCACTGTTTCCACCTCATTCCCACTGTCCCCACACTTGTCCCCACCACCACCGTCCCCACCACTGTCCACTGTCCCCCCTGTTCCCACCATTGTCCCCACCACTGTCCCCACCACTACCGTCCCCACCACTGTCCCACTGTCCCACTGTCCCCACCACTGTCCCGCTGTCCCCTCACCACTGTCCCCACCAACACCGTCCCCACCACTGTCCGCACCCCCACTCGGTTTTCGAGGGGGGGGGGGTTCGAACCGGTAGTGAACCCCCCCCTTTTCATGATGAACTGGGGGGGGAGGAGGGGTTCGAACCGGTAGTGACCCCGCCCGGTTTTCCGGAGGGGGGGGGGGGGGGAGGAGGGGTTCGAACCGGTATTGACCCCCCCCGGTTTTCCGCCAGCAGCGGTAGAACACGCTCTTTCACAGATCGAGGACAGGTGGTTTTCAAGATGTCGCTCTCGCTTTAGCGCGCGCGGCGCACATTCTCATGAACAATTTGCAAGAGTTTCACGGATTGAAGGCGGTTCCTTTTGCGCCGCACGCACTCGCCTTTGCGCCGCACGCACTCGTTTTAAACTTTGCAAAGAGTTTCATGGATTCCCACCGTCAACGCACCAGAAATGGTGTTTTGAAAGGATTCAGGATTACGCGGGCGCAACAATTACTTTGATTCGCTGTGTTGAAGTCCCAGGAATGGCGTCCTGGCACGACTCTGGGTCGTTAACACGCAACAGTCAGTATGACCCGCGGCGTTAGAATACCGAGAAACGATTGTCGTCAAACGAGGTCGCCCAACGAGGCAATTTCCTCAATGGAAATGAACCGTTGTAGGGGCCTATGAAGAGGGAGCTTGGAGGGAGGGTTTATTCCAACATCGTTGATGCCTCTTGGGCTTACACTGGTCCTCCTCCTCCTCCTCCTTCCCTCCTCCTCCTCCTTGTCCTCTTCCTTTTCCTCTTCCTCTTCCTCCTCCTCCTCCTCCTCATCCTCATCCTCCTCATCCTCATCCTCCTCCTCCTTTTCCACCTCCTCCTCCTCCTCGTTGTTGTCGTCCTCCTCGTCCTAGTCTTTCTCCTCATCCTCCTCCCCCTCCTCCTCCTCCTCCTAGCCCTGTCATCGTCCTCGATGGTCCTCCTCACCAAGATCCAGAGGGCCGCAGGAAATTATGATTTCGGGCTGTCCAGGCGCTCCTGACTTGGAAGCTGGGGGGCATGAAAACAGTTTTCCCGACATGTGCAAGTCGGGCTCGGGAGGTGCATGCAATCAAGGTTTTGGGACTGGGCGAACGTTTCGGTTCTAGGTTCCGAACGGACACCACAGAGGTGTCAAAACCACCCTCACGAGGGGTAAACTTCTCCTCCACGGGGCACCAAAATGCCCATCCCCGCGAGGGGTAAAATCTTCTCCCGAGGGGCAGCCGAGAGGGGTAATTTCTTCCCCCTGTGAGGGCACCCAAACCAGTCGGATCGATTCCTCGACGTGGACAAAAAAATAGTTCTGTGGCCAAGTCAATGCAAGAAAAGATGCCACGCCTGCCACCCCGCAGGGAAGACACCGTCCATCCATCCTCCCTACTTCCTCCCTACTTCCTCCCTCTTTGATTTGTGCACTTCATCCTTACGTATTTCCTCCTCTTCCTTCCTCGATCCTTCATGATTCCTTATTCTTGTTTCCTCCTTCCTCATTCCGCTTTCCTCCTCCCAATTCCTTCCTGATTCCTTCCTCCCCCTTCCCCATCATAACGGCCCGCAGGCCATCTCCTGGAGCGCGCTCTGACCAAGATCTCGAGGGGGATCTAGCCGTGGGGATGGGCACGCCCTCGGAAGCTCCCAAAAGGGCACAACACCGTCCAGAACATCGATTGACAATCCTTGATTCACCTCCTCCTGTTCTTCCTGGCAGCGCGCCCAAGGCAGTGGCGCGAGGGGCTTGGCTTTCTAAGACGGCGGGGGGCTCCAAGAAGGAAGGGGCCTTCTCAGAAACCGTCCCAGCTTCTAAGGAGCCGTCTCAGAACCCTCCCTGGGCCACCCTCAGAAGGCTTCGAAGGACCTCCCCCCCCACATTCTTAAAGGCCACCCCCCTCTCGCCACCCCCGTGTGCGCGGCGCTAACCTTCCTCCTCCTGGAGGCACCCGCGGGAGGAGTCCGGCCACGCCCCGCGAGCGCCGGGCGCCGCCCGTCCTGGGCTGCCAGGCGGAGGGCTGTGTGGACCTGGGCTGTCCCGGAGGGCGGGGGAAGGGAGAGAGAGAGAGGGTCGATGCTCCTCAGAACGTGTTCTCCGCCAAGGCGTGTGACGATCGCTGACTACCTGCCAGACCACCCCAACCCAACCCAAAGACCCGAATTTCGGGTTGGGGGGGGGCACGGGTTCCGTATGTGTTTCTTCAGTGTTGCCGGGCCCCCCCACACTGGAAATGGAGGGCAAACTGAAGCCTTCGGGTTGGGTTGGGGTGTATTGGTGGGTGGTGAATCGCGTCACGCTGTCGCCTGGCAGCAGGAGAGCCCAGAATCGAATCGACAAGTCGGATCGGCGATCGAAATGAATCGGATTGGCGGAAATCGGCAGCCGAGTCGGGAGAAGTTGACTCGGCAAGAATCGGAAGGCCAATAGGCCTCCATTGAGGAATCGGAATCCAAATCGGAATCCGAAGTCGAATCGAATCGGAATCGGAGGCCCTCGAAATCGAATCGACTCGGAGGAATCGAAACGAGCCCTGTGGCAGCCCTCTGCTTCGACTGCTTGCTCCTCCTGCTCTCCTCGGGGATCTTCTGACCTGGGGCAATCCCAGACCCAGGTCAGCCAGGCCTTGCAGAATCCTGCAGGATCCTGCAAAATCCTGGACACAAACCCGGGTCGATGCCAAGGGTCCTGCAAAATCCCGCAGGATCCTGCACCCAAACCCAGGCCAATCCGACCCTGGCCATGCAGGAAGAGGAGGAGGAGGAGGAGGAGGAGGAGGAGGAGGAGGAGGAGGAAGGAGGGAGGAGGAGGAGGGAGGAGGAGGGAGGAGAAGGCTGAGAGGAGGAGGATGGGTGAAGGAGGAGGAGGACACGGAGGAGGAGGAGGCGGAGGAGGTGTGAGGACAAGAGGAAGGAGGAAGGGAGGAGGAGGAGGAGGTAGGTAGGGAGGAGGAGGAGGAAGTAGGAGGAGGGAGGGAGTACACAAAAATAAAAAAAAAAAAAAAGGGAATGGGGGGAGCGGGCGAGCCCTGCGGCGCCCTGGCTGACCCCCGTCTGCCTTGCCCCCCGTCTCTTGAGCCCCGCTCTCCCCGCGCCCGCCGCATGCCAGGCCCGCTGCGCGAGGCCGCCTGCGCTCCCCGCTCCCGCCGCCGCTCGCGGCGGTCGGCG